TCATATTTGGTCGCTTTCATGGACAAGCAGGCTAACCCAGGTTTCGGGGGTTTCCAGAAATCTTGACCTTCATCAAAAGAGGACATTGCCCTACCTATAGGAGAAGTTTGGTTTCCTTGGGGTGTATATAGGTAATAGAGAAAACTCTCAACGTCTTTTGAAGAAACAACAAGGATTCAGAAACTTTACCTTCGATTTTCTCAAAACAGCATTTTTCGGGAGAGCCCCCTTGTGCTTAAAAGCGACCGTTTATCCTCTGTGTATCTCTGTATTTGAAAAAGCCTTAAAACCACCCCCATCATGAGCAATGTTCCAGTTGCTACTTGCACCACATACTTCAGACCCGAGACAGAGGCGTGTTGCTCAGAAAGCTGCACCCCTTCTCATGTAACAAATGCAGATAAGAATACCACTCGACTTTTGACAGAAAAATAAGACACATGTAAAGCTGGAAAAAATGTTTATGTACTATGGCCAATAACATAATACTAGTAGGGCAAAACAAGAATTCATAAATATTGATGCTGACAACATTCAAACAAAGAGAAGAACAGTGGAAATAAACATACACTCTTCAGCAAAAGTAAATCCAAACTGAAATACATTATATAACGATATTCACGACTCGGTGCAGAACCTGCACATGCATCAATAAAAAGGCTGAAATTATGAACACAAAATCTGAAGGCAGGAAAACATGATGACAGTTTTACATTTTAAAAATTACACAACAAAGGCCAAGGAGTAATTATGATACCAGCCATACGGAATATTTTCCACTTCAAGTCCCCCCCAATAAAAGTGCAAAACTTAAGCATTTCAAATCTGAATAAGAAAAAAAACAAAGCCTCTTTCATAATATAATTGAAATCAGTTTAGGAACATTTTTAACATCTTAAACGAAACTGAACCACTTCAACAACTACTTCAAATATGTCAAAATTGAAATGCAAATTTCACAATACACCTCTAAACACAAATATCTAATGAATCTTTTTACCTCTGATCAAAATATAGATCACTGTTGACAAACAGAGGGCATACATAGAATCATAGATCTTTCTACAACATCTCTTTAACTCACTGACTACGGATCCCATCATGGGTACGGGGCGGACGGTCGGTTCGTAGGTACAGATCCCGTACCCCCGACGGGATGGACTTTGCGGTTTTGTTCCGTATCTTGTGCTCCCGTCACATGAACGGGAACAGACTCCAGTGCTAGTTTTGCTTCTTGTTTCGTTTCGTGCCGAGTTTGGCGGAAGTTTCGTGGTAAATTTTTAAGCAATTGAAGGTGAAGGACAGTCACCTCATCTGGGGTTGACCTGACCGGAACTCGCGCTGTTTTTTTCTATACAAATGATAGTAATCCGACAGTCGCGTTGAAGTAACGGTCGCATGAACAAGAATCACATAATTTCGCAGTTTTCGATACTTCTGTACGTTTTGATAGTTCTAGTGACTCAGGATATGATGTGTCTGATAGTTAGGACCCTGGATATGTACCCGAACACAGCCCGAGTCGTAGTTTTAGGGCGCACTAGTACTGATGTTCGCGCGACGAAATCACAACTTCGTTCCCCACATCTGTCTCATGTAATTCAGTGTATGGGTCTGAATAAACGCACAGACAAGCTTTTATATTTTCACCAAACACTCACACATGGATACAAATCAAAACAGGACACTTTGAACTTTTATTTTTGTTGTCGTTGTGAATTTCATTCTATCTGTCATGTCTCTGGAAATTTTTCGAAAAATCAAATTCATTCCAATTTTGAAACAATCATAAGAATTAAAGTATTAGACCTAGAGAACTTAAAATTTTTGCAATAGATTAAGTTTGAAAGTAACTTTACTGTGTCAAAAAATATTTACAATAGGGCAATTCTGAGAGTTGTGGTGGTGTTTTGAAATACCCCCAAAAATGCCAGTACTCGGCGCTAGTGTTTGTGAAAGGGGCCAGTAGTCAGTGAGTTAAACTTCTGTCATGAGAATCTGCAATGCACACTGAGCAACGCACAAAGATAAACTACATTTCTTACAGCCTAAATTTGGACTTTTCTTTCTTTCACCTCACCTTGATCAAACTGCACTAGAATTAAAACAAAACACCAATCCTCTAAAAGCAGCAAAAGGTGTCAGTCTTTATCTGCTATGGCTGGACACCATGAAGTACTTGAACAAATGACATAGCAAAGAAGGGAAAGGCATGTGAAGTAAAGAAGAACAAAAACTGCAAGCAAACAGAATGCTTGATTGTCCAACACACCATCACAGGAAGGAACAGCTGAACCAAACTGTCAGCGCAGAGCATGTGACTTACTTATAACTTACAACAAAATAAGACTGTCTTTGAAGTGATACAAAAATGAACAAGTCTTGACACCAGTCACAAAGAGGCCAGGTTGAAAAGTGTGGGACCGCCACATTGTCACCCAATCTGTCCCCGTGGTTTTATGCACCCCGCATAGTTTAGCAAAATTTGACCATTTTTTACATAATTTCTGATTGTTTTCCTTTATCATTCTTTGTTAAAATTAACAAAATCGCATAATTTCAAATTTTTTTGCTCAGTTTGCATAATTTCAGAATTTTTCTTGCATAAAACGACGGGGACAGCCCTATACAGCAAAACTGTAGTGTGGACCTACATTATTTCATTTACCTCCTAATCCAGTTTATTTTCGAGCTTGAAAAATTCAGGGCAGGCAAGAGTGTTATCAGCTGAGAAATTCAACTTATTTGGCAATGTTAGATTTTTGCGTGAACACTTAAGTGACGTCTAGCCTCATTGTGACTGGTCTCTTCACAAACAGCAAACACATTCCTCAATACACTTGTGTATAGTAATACGGATAAATAAACATTTATATTATATTATAGAAAATGACTGCAGTTAACTGTAAACTGAAGCTCCACAAAAACAACCAAATGATCTTACAACACATATAATTTATAATGACTGAACAAGTTTGGCTTAGGCCTACTTTAGCCAGAGATATACTATACTGTTATGTATATAACATACTTGTAAATGTGAGTATGGTGGGGGGGGGGGGGGGGATACGAGGAAAACTACTACGAACTACATGCATACATGCAACAGTTTTCGGATCACTGCTGAGGGGAGTCTATGTGGCACGTATGTGGTACGTAAATGCAAAACTGGTGAACATCAAATAGTCTGTATTTCCACGATGTAACAGTATCAGAGTTGGGGGGGGGGGGGGGAGGGTTCACAATATAATACCTTGACTGTTAACACAACCAACAAAAGGGATCATGCACACACATCCATCATAACAGTGAGTGGAGAGATATTGTCGGTAGACATTAGGCAAGTGGAGTAACAGCAGATCTTTCCGAAGCAACAGAACATTTTTCAGATCTGCACCAAAACTGACGGAAGTTGTAACTTACTGTAAGAAAAGAAACTTGCAGAAACATTTCTCTGTACTTCAGTTTGATGTTCTCACTTGCTTTTCAAAAAATCCAAAAGAGAGCAATGGTGGGGGGGGGGGGGGGGGGGGGGGGGAATTCAAGAAAATATATATATATATATATATATATATATATATATATATATATATATATATATATATATATATAATATAATCATCGCTGTTCTAAGTTTATTTTTAACTCACCCTGTAAAGTAGGGTCAAATGGAGTTATGCACTTTTGTCCTGACAGCATCTGTTTTTTAATACATATATCTGTATATATCTAATATATCTAATCATATATTTATCCATTAGTGCCAAAATCTTAAGTAACTATAAATGGGAATAAACACGAAACATCTGCCTATATTCCATAATAAATCTAAGGGTAAGAGAAGCAAAAAAAAAAAAAGGGTTGAAGAAAAAGTAAATTCTTTCCTGGTGAAAAGACCTGAGGTACGTATACTAGTATATACATATATATAATTATTATATGCAGTATGTATATAGTATAATATATAAATATATATGACACATGGTACAACGGTGGAGATTGCACAATATTTGACCTAGACTGTACACTGTACATAACTGTGATAACAGCACAGGCAGCCAGCAGGCACAAAGCATTAAGTTGCAGTACTGCGTGAAATGACTTTACACTCTACCTGTTCGTATCAGGCACAGGCAGAATCTTACATTATGCTACAAAAAAGAACACAAATGGATCATGGCAAGTGGCCTCATTGGGAAACATTTTTTTTTTGGTCTCAGTGAGTTGGGACACAGGTACTATCATATTTCCTGTGAGAAAATTATTCTTCGGGGCCATGTTTTCCCATATTAAAATTGCACAGCTTAACTTTAACATAGGGGGGCTAAGTTGTAGTGCTGGACTCTACATTGAGTCGACACGATAACACAGGATGGAAAGTGGGACTTGAGATGACAAGGTTTGTCCAGTAGCTCCCTTCACTTCAGGCACTGGTTCTTCGCCTTTCCAAAGATAGTATGATTGCAGCTACTTATGAACAACCATCATTATTGGGATAGCAACAAAGTAGTGATCAAGTCTTTAATAATTATAAATAGCATTTGTACTGCGTATATTCCCACTCAACAGCAAGCTCTGTACGCTTTACAGTCAATATGTGTCACAACACGGTGGAATCGGGCGCTCGTCAATTTTAGGGCAGACGGAGTTATTGGTATCATCTTAAAGCCTGTCCATTTGCCTTGCTTTTGATGAAAAAAATATCCATTTATCTTGGATACAAGTCAAGATATTAGACTATTGAAGGAGATGGGGTTGTCTGATTTCAGGGGTAAAATTAGCGAGAAAATGGCCGCCGAAATTGAGTTATTTTCTTAGCTTGAGAGTCTGTGGAAACTGAAAATTTACATCTTTTATGCCTCTAATTCATGTTTTTCAGTAAAATTCACATATAAGTGTTTTTTAGTGGGCATGAAAGGTGTTGAGCCAAAGAAAAAAAAATTTGATAAAATTCCCAAACCTGTAGAAAAATGCAACTTTCTTGACTTTCTATTATTTTGACGAGCGCCTGATTTCACCACACTGCCTCACATATTGTTACCCTAACAGACCTTAAAACACTAAAACATTTTTGGCTTCCTGAGAAGCTTTTAAAGTAATTATCTACTACATGAGGAAAAAACCCATTACAATCAGCATTTATCTCATCATTTTCCCCATAAATATTTTAATGCCAAAGTACTGCCAGTGCCAATCATGCCAACAAAAAGAGATGATGGAGTAATGCTCACTGTGGAAACCTGAGATAGGAGTGCATACAGTGCAACTTGACGACTACAATCTCAGTACAATTCTGATGCAGCTCGGATACACACACAGCCAAGCAATACTGAGGCAGACACTTCAAAAAAGAACAAAAGAAATTATTAAAATCTATAAAAAAAATTAAATGGAGAACATTATCCATTCTGCTAAGAGCCTGAGTCAGGAGATTTGCTGTCAGCTACTGTGGCAACAGACTCTGGTGCAGTTTCCATTGGGGTAGAATCAGTGGAGGATTTTTCGCGAGTAGCTTCCATGTCCTGCGTTAGAGGCGGCTGCTCAGTGGGAGAGCTGCCTGCTGACTTGGCTTTGTCAGGTACAGGGGCCGGTGGTGTAGGGGAACTCCTTGCACTGGCAGACCTGCTGGAACTGCGAGAACCTTTCTCTCGACTGGAATCTCGATGCATCAACTTCATCCTGCTTGTCGTCTGAAATGAAACGAGTAAGATTCATGGTGATCCAAGGTATACAAATGACCAGGTGTGACCAGGCTCACCGGCACAGCAGTTCCAATCTTGCCGGAGAAAAGGAGTTAACTGATTCAGCTCGCAGATAATTTTGATTCTGGACACAAATAAATTGTGACCGCTTCGTGACCGCATCGGTGGTCTCACAAAAAGTAGGTACCAGAAACTAAATTTTCAAAGTAGCTGTATGCCAAATTTATCTTTTCCATTTGAAAGGCCTATATCCACTGAGCATTTTGGCACCATTCTTTAACCTCTCAGTCAATTTTAAAGAAAATGGTAGTTGTTTAAAATTTGATCAAATTTGTTAAAGTCAGTCACTGGCTGCAACCCCATGTTTGACAGACAATAAAAGAGTACCAAGTGCACTAAACATCTCCACACTAACAGAGTACAATCACTATAACAAATATATGGAGCCTAATTTTTTCCAAGACTGCGAGATCATTACAAATCAGTATTTTATCACTTCAAACACGATGATCTGTCGTTATTTCGACAAAAACACCGAGCGTTGACCCGGCTGGCGCTGCACCGCCCCCGTGGTAAACGAGTCGGCGTATACTGTAGTGTACCCCGCGTGCGGGGTAACATGCTTTCCTAGTCTCGCGGAAGGATTGATGTAAAATAATTCCAAGCTAATTACTTTATTCTAATAGAAAATGAACTGATCTTTTCATTAATACCTTTTTTAAGTCGGTATTTTACTTATTTTGAGTAAAAAGTTATCTTTAAACATTTTGACAGCATTTTTAAAAGCTTTCTATTTAAACATCAAAGGCTAAATATATACCACGGGAAAGCCTGTTTAGAGCTCTACAGTTCTCCGCCAATGAAAAGACGGTATTTAATCATCGCTCGTTCTGCGAAGTATTTGAATGCACGCGTGCCGATTTTTGAACTGGCCGACCACGCATTCCGACCGCGAGGGGCTTCGCTTTCACCGGCGATTCTCCAGCTCCTAATAATCGGACATATAAACAACTTACACCATTGTAACGAGGAAAAGTTGAACTTTTACAAGGTGTACGGCAATTGGTGTTTTATAGCGAAAGAGCAAAGAAACAGCTATCGGAATTACCCCGATTTCACCGATACCACGCGGTCGGAAGGCCGCGAGTGCCTGCGAGGCCGTGTTTACGCTACCTACAAAAAGAAATATCTAAATTTGATAAAACCCTATGTGTAGCATATATAGAAATGTTCAGAATAAAAAATACTATCTGATGACACCAGCCAGAAGAAAAGGACTGAAATGTAAGTGATAAGGAAAAAAGAAGAGAGGTAAATGATGTGAGGAAAGGGAGCAATATATAAGAGCAGCACTGAGCGGCTCTGCGTCAAAACACAAGACACAGGAGACAGTCAGTCACTGCGAGTGGCGCTGCAGGCTGAATCAGAAAACTCAGGATATGGGTCACCAAAATAATTTAATCATATCATTGAACTCTATGGTGTAAATTAAATGTGCTTTTATAGACATTAAAACTTTTAGCTATTGTATCATACACTTCTTCTCAACTTAAATGTGAAAAATCTTTTACTTATAACATTAATGAATTGTACTGAACAAAATAGTTATCTGGCTCACTTTCAGCATTTTTTTTTAGTGATCCTAGACCCATTCTACCCCAATGGAAACTGAACCTGCATCTGTTGCCACAGTGGCTGTCAGTAAACATTCTCCTGACTTGGGTTTTTGGCAGAATGGATAATGTTGTTGGTGTCGCAAGCAATCCCTTTAAGTCCATTTGGGTACTCTTTACACCAGAGACAAAAAAACTAGTTTTTATTGTGTTGTTTGTTCAGAAATAATGAAAAAAATAAACCTGTAAGTCTTGACCATTGCAGTAAACTACATTTTGGTAATGTTGAAAGGTGCATCTTTGATAGAGCTTTGGGAGGGTATAAAAATAGAAAATTCTCAAAATTCGGACTTAAGTGGATAGTTTGCAACAGCCATGATGTCCTCCCATCAATTTTTATAGGAGTTTGGTGACCCCTGGTTTAGGCAGATGACACTGATGTCCACTGACCACTTCTCTGAGCTGAGACTGAAGCTTGTGTTTCTCCTGAGTCAAACGGTCAATCTCCTCCATGTTCTTCTGGTTCTTGGTGCTAGTCATCTCAAGCAGGGCAAGGGTCGAGTCCTTCTCGCTGATGGTGGCCTGCAGAGCTTCTTGTCTGAGGACACAGAACAGACACTCACAGGTAAAAAGATAATATAAAATATGACATGGAGATAAAAAGAGGCAGAAATTAGTTTAGTTTTAGTAAGTGTTTTACAGCACTTGCAACACAATAAGGTCATATAAGTGCCGAAGATTAGAGGTGTTACAAGAGAGTGACAAACACAAAAAAGAAGGAGGGGAGATATAAAGACGACAGATGTTTGATAAGAAAGAAGAAGCAAACTACAACAGAGCATCCGCAGAAATATAAAAAAAGAGTCAAATACAGTTGTGCCCAATGAACAGCAACCCAGATAAGAGCAACATCTGCCTAACAGCAATCAAAGCTTGTGAAACAGAATTTCCTTATAAAAATCATCACCTTTAACAGCAAGCTTCATTTCATTGCTCTAAAACTAACAGCAACCAAAGCTTGTGAAAGAGAATTTCCTTATACAAATCATCACCTTTAACAGCAAGCTTAATTTAATTGCTCTAAAATGCCGTACAAAAAAAAAAGATTATTCAAGAATAGTGTAAGTACAAAGATTGACCTATAGTTTCAGTGTGTGAGTATCCCTCTTCTCTTGTTTATTTCCTCAAAACAAATAGGTGGGCCAAAAATGCACTATGCAGCTTTAGTCAACACCGTCTCCCCAAGAGCCACCTTCTTTCAAAAGTCTGAGGGGAAAAGTTTCAGCCACACTATTACAAATTCTTTAACATTGCTTTCTTCTTACTTTCTGATATAACATCATCACACCCTGGAATTAGGACCCGAGGGTGCATGTGTGTGTGTGTGTGTGGCGGGGGAGGGGGGGTTGGTGTTCTTTATCTTTGAAGTTTCCCCTCTACCCCTTTGAAAATTCAGTGAGCAGCAACGTCCACCTAACAACAATCAAGGCCTGCTTCCCAAGGAGTTGCTGTTAGGTGGACAGCACTGTTTAAAAAGGCCCTAAAAAAGTCAAATACACGTACACATTTTTGCTTTGACCCCCCCCCCCGGCAAAAAAAAAAGAAGAAAGAAAGAACGAAAGAAAGAAAGAAAAAGAGTTGAGGGGTTGCTTGAAGGAATATAAAATGACACGACTCACTTAGTTTCAAGCACCTCCTGCATTTGTCTCTGCCTCTCAGCAACCACACGTCGTAGTTTGTTGTCCTTGTCCTCCAGTTGTCGTGAGAGCTGAGCTAGCTTGTCCTGATAGTCCTGTGAGGAATGCTGCAACATTTCTACCTCAGCTCGCATCTCTTCCATCTGGGTGGGAAACACAAAGGCAGATATATCACAGTAGCAGCTCATGTTTGACAACAGCACAAATAGTAAAAAAAAAGTCTCTGGCTTTAAAAATTCAATACAATAAACTCATTTTCCATTTCATCATTTTGTTTTGATTTCTCCTGATCATCATCATCATCATCATCATCAAGTGCCAGATCTGCAACAGACATTGGCAATCATGGTTCTCCATGCAGTCCTTCTCCATGCAGTCCTTTGCATGGATGCTCTCAAAAAGGCTACATTATCCTGAAACTTCTCAGTCACCCATATGTTTAGTCTCTCCAAGTAAGTGGCTCTGGGCCTATCCTTCCTAGATTGCCCTAAACTTTGCCAGTGAGAGCTTGAAGTTCAAGACCTTTAGGTCTATTCAAGTATCCCAGAAACTGTATGATTAGTCTTTTCCTGATTGTTTTTAATTCATTCGCTACATATTATTTTTGGCTTGTGGACGAATTTTTTTCGGGAGGGCGAATGATTTGATGACTAGTGGGCAGTTAAAAGGTCTTTGGGGCCACAAATTCAAATAAATATCAACATATTATATACCAAAATTTTCAGTATTGTTTGTAGAATACACCTGTATTGTTTATTTGCGTATTTTTCCACTTTGGTTACTGTAAGAGGCGATTACGCAACACAATTTTGATTGGAAGCGGATAAAATTTGAAACTAAAAAATTTATAATCTTTGGTGAAACTCAAAAAATATGTTTGCACCTAGTCAAATGATACACCAAAATAACCATAAATGAAAATAAAACTTGAAAATATTGAAAAGTTTGCAGTTATTTACATACATTCCAAAATATTTGTACATTTGGATCATAACATCCGATATTGAAAAAAAAAAAAAAAAAAAAATCTTGAAAAACGATCACAAACCGAAAAAACCCCACTTGTATCTTATGTGGAATTATTCAGAATTGCATTTGGAATAAACCTATACATGTCTTGAGTGGCACTTTTTGTGTAATTTCATCAAAAAGTAGTGATTTTGGAGAGAAAAAAATATTTTAACAATTTAGATCTAGACCTAGATCTGGCACTCAAAAATATTAATTTCTCAATAACAGTTCATTGGCAATATGAGTCCAATCGTATCAATATTATAAAAAAGAGTCCTACACTTCTTTAGTGGGCAATATAATGATAGATGTTGTGTAAAATTACTAAGACTGGTGTCCGGGCTATAATTTGAGCATCACGATAAAACTAAGTCGAATAAACTACGAAATCGCGTTTCAAAACAGAATCTAAACTTCTGATTTTCAGTGGAAATGCTTGACCCGGAAGTCAACATTATATATGACCTTTATTTTAACATGGATATGTGGATTGGAATAGAATCTAAGCTAAAATTGAAGATTGGTTCTCGAGCCGCCTGAGGCGGCTTAGCATACTGATGGCACTTTAGCCGCGCCGCCCCCCCCACGGCTCGGCGTAGCAAATGAGTTAACCAGCGAGTGGCCCATGTGGGCTTCTTCCAAGAACTACCTCATTTGATTTCTATTCCTTTAAAGAAAGTCTCAGGAGTCTCCCAAAAAATCAAATTACTGTTGCTTTTCCTGATAGCAATAACAAAAAACCTTGTTGAAACAAGAGATTTCTGAGCTGCTGTGGCAGACTGTGTTCTCTGGGTTCGATTGATTATGGACACTGTTTTGTCTTTGGTACACACTGTAAAGTGCCATGCAAATATATTACCTCTAGGCATCTCTAGTTCACTCTGGACAGCCAACTAACTATAACTTACAAACTAAATATTATTATGTTCTCAAAAGATTGTTCCTAGCATCATCAGCCATTTCGTCTTTTTTTGGTTCATTTTTTTCTATCTACAGGAGCAGCAAAACAGGGAAAAGGTGGAATATAATGTCAGCAGCAAATTTGTTGTTAGTGAGAGCCATAGGACAGAGGAAAAATTGCCATGTAGTCTGAACCTTGTTCTACACATGGGAAATTGGTTAAAACAAATTTTCCAGCCCACCACGATGACTGTATATTGTATAGACTGTGTAAGGTACAATTGTCTAAATGCACTTACTATACAGTCTTCAGTGCTCCTAATAAAACATAAGAGCTTCAGATACCAGAAAAATTCAGTACTTAAGAAAAGAAATAAATCTGATATTACACTTTTACCCATTGAAGTTTCAGTACAGACATCAAAACTCCTGATTTGATTAGACCTCTTTTTCAAGTTTGAGTGTGCATCTGAGGAATAAATCTTCAAGTTCATTTCACAATTCAAATTCCTGCAATCTGCTCTAGGACATTTTGTTTTCATTTTCCGGGTCTTGGAAGTTCCTTTTTTTATTTCAGCGTTAGCATGTCTGTGAGGAGCACTACTAGAAAACACAATACATATTCTTTTGTACTCTGACCTCAAAAATGTATTAATATTATAAATAAGATTTTCTACATACTGGTCTTTTGCTATATGTCTGTACGACTTACCGCGGTCTTGGAGTCCTCAATCTGTGTTTGCAGCTCGGCCATGGCCATCTCCCGCTCGGCTGTGATGATGACGCTCTGACGTAGTGCTTCCTCCAGCTCCTCAACACGTTCTGTGCTCTTCTTGATCGCCGTCTATCGGGGTGTGTGTGTATGTGTGTGTGTGTGTGTGTGGTGTGTGTGTGTGTGTGAGTGTGTGTGTGTGTGTGTGTGTGTGTGTGTGTGTGTGTGTGAGTGTGTGTGTGAGTGTGTGTGTGAGTGTGTGTGTGTATGTGTGTGGATGCGCGGTATGGGGGGGGGGGGGGGCAAAAGGAAAGACAGTGTGAGTCAGGAATTGGTTTATCTTCATTAGGTAAAAGCCCATTTCCAACATTTCAGGTATAATAGAGGCAGGAACTACATTTTTAAACAATTATTCCTATGAATAAATACTGTACCCTGTTGCCATACAAATTATTCTACAGCTGTAGAAAATACCCTGCTGCTGAAAGGCACATTTTACTGAAGGACTGTTCTAATATAAGAAGTATTTTGTAGTTTTTGTAACAACTATAATTAACTAGTACATAATTTCTAAAATATTAACCTAGTAATAAAGTGGTTGCCAGACCAAAACTGATGGTTCTATATTTGACACAGCATACTTGAGCACATAAAAGTGGAAAGACATGGAATAATATCAAGAAGCTAGCCCATGAAAAGGAAAAGTGGAAAGTGTTTGTTGGTGGCCTATACCCTGGTCCAGGGTGAGAAAGGCGTCCATGATGCTAAAGCAGCAAAGAAAAAACTGCAAATACGAAACACGCCACCATAGGTAATAATTTTTAAAAAGTTGGAAATCAAACAAGATCTGTGCTGCCCCTCTCATCTAAAACTACTCACAAGAGAGTCAAGGAAAAGCAAGAATCACATTAAGCCACACAGGAAGAACATACCGACAAGCTGGACGATTCGTCTGTCATGGAATCCTCCCGTTTCCTCGCTTCCTCCAACAGCTGAGCGTTTTTCTTCTTCTCAGTCTGTTGGCTGCGCTTGAGGGTTCCCATCTTCTGCTTGTACTCCTTCACAATTCTGGGGGTCACAAACAAGATGTCAGGGCACCACAAAAACTGGAGTTTAATGATATAAAGGAAACATACCAGGTTTACTGAGCATCTCCTCCCTTGATTACCAGTGGCTTTTTCAGTTCATAGTTAATTTTCAAGCAGCTTGAGCATAATATATACGTTCACATTTAACTGGAATAAGCACATGTATTGATTTAATCTAAAAATCTATTTTCTTTTCTGATTGAAAACTTTCATAATGTTGATATTTTCAAACTGAAAAATTGCTGTGCTTCAGACCAATGGACAGGAAAGAGAAAAAGATCAGAAATTCCACTTTCTCAGCTCCATTCTTCGCAAAATGGATCTCAATTTGAGAGACAAAGAAAAGCTAAAGAATTTTGTTCTGAGGGGGGCAATCGTCACACAACCAGGCTTTAGTAAAGCAAAGAATAATGCAGTCCTTCAAGTAAAGTTACAACATTTTTAAGCAAATAGAACATTCCTAGGTTACTTTTCTTCCAAAAGTTATTAGAAACAATCACAGTAAATAGAGAAAAGTAACTCAAAGCTATTATAGAATGAGGGTCATATTAAAGATGAAATCATTGTCTTCAATATCTCTTTCAGTAAGTCATTTTGACTCTGCCTAAAGTCAAACATAAAATTCCAGAAATTTTGGGAAAAGCGACAACCTTTCTGAAGAAGTCTCTCCTCTCAGTCAATATCAATGCAAACACTGTTTTATTTTTGTTAGTGATAAAATGTAATCCTCTCCTAGACAAACACAAACACAATTTGTCTATTTCATGGCAAAAGCTTCCATCCAACAAGAAACAAGGTGGGAGAGGAAAGAGGAAACAAGTCAGGAGGATGAAAAAAAAAAGAAAAACCTTATAATTGGACAGCTGTCCAGATGTTCTAAGCCCAAAATTCTGCGTAATTTTTTCAATTGCGGTTTCTTAAACTGTGGTATCCGTTGCATGTCCTTGAGAAATATTTTGTTGGAATTCAGATTTCTAATAATGAAAGAAGCATGAATAGATATGTAATGAAGGCACATTTCTTAAAAAGAATGAAAACAGGGTTTTTTTCTCTCCTGAAAAATTTTGTTTTCTGGGCTTAGAACATTTAACTGCTTCCTAGCGTTATCTTGATTTTTGCCTTTGAATTTCAACTTCCATGCAATGGAAATGTTGTACAAAAACCAGCAGCAGCTAGAACAACCTGCACACATTCTCAGCACATACTCTTGTAATTCTTTGATCTCCGCCTCCTTATCAGCCCGGTCAGCCTCGGCCTCACGCAGAGATTCCTGCAGACGGTCAACCTCTGACTGGAGCTGTTTCGTCTCCTGTTGGCTAAAGTTGGCTGGTTGTCCAGCCTCTGCCCGTCGCTTCGAATCCAGTTCTGCCTCCACCTGGCACAAACAAAAAGCGATTTACAATTCTGGGAGCACAGCCTTTATTACAGTGGACACATAGACACACACACACACACACACACACACACACACACACAATGGACATTTGCATGCATGCACCCAAACCAATGCACACACACATATACACCCAATGGAGATTTGCAATCACACACAAAAACCAGTGCACACAGACACACACATACAAACACCATACTCAGATCTTCCACTCTATGAAATCTAAAAATCAGGATCTCATGGGAAAAAAATCTGGATTTGGTGAAAATAATCGGGATTAACGACAAATCATCAAGGTGAGTGACAAGTTGACTTTAAAATTTCCCAGGGGTGTAAATTAATATATCCATATATATATATATACATGCATATGCCCTCTCTCTCTCTCGCTCCCTGTGTGTGTTATCATAAATTCTTTAGATCCTGAAGTATCACCTTACACCTACCCCCCCTCCGTGAATAAGTCCCAAAAGACACTTCAACTAGTGTGTATATGAACTTAAGTTGACCCCGTCAACGGACCATCCCCGACTCACGCGGAACTCGCACGCTGAAGTCATGTCACTTGAGGCGAACGCGCAATTGAAACAGTTTTACTGACGGGTCTTGTTTTGAAAGTAGCAGCAGAACTACAAGTAATATTGATCTTTTGTATGTTGCAATTGAAACAGTTATTAGGCCATCATTGAAGAATTCTGAGTGGGAACAAAAGCAAAAGTAGCCTGGATCTTGAGAATATCCAAAGTCAGAATACCAAATCGAAGCTACTTCCATTACAGTTGAAATAACATGTGCAAGCAAAGATCCAACGCAACTTGGGGCAAGTCAACTACTAAATCCCGCATCGATATTTTGGAAAATAGTGCTCCGAGTTCCTGCTGACAGAAAGTTTAACGAGCGCTTCCTGTGACAGAGAAGAAAGCAGAGTAAATTTTAAGAAAAATGCTGCACAACTGGCAGAACAAAAAATTCGGGATATATGCCATTGAAATCGGGAAAATCGGGATGCTCGAGATTTGGGGCAAAAAACCCCCCCCCGGGATATCCCAATTAAATCGGGATGAGTGGCAGGTTTGTATACTCCTCACCTCTGAACCAGTGCATCCTCTAGCTCTAGAGTCATCCTCTGGAAGTCCACCTACCTCTCATGGATCTCCAACTCCAGTTGGCAGAAAAAATCCCCCGCTCCCTCACCCACTCTCTCTCTCTCTCTCTCTCTCTCTCACATACACATACATGAACACACATACAAACAAACACACACACACACATGCCCCTCCCACACACACACACACAGACTATACTCCTCACCTCCTCTACATGAGCAGCCTGAGCCAATGCCTCCTCTAGCTCTAGCGTCACCCTCTGGAAGTCCGCCTGCCTTTCGTGGACCTCAGACTCCAGCTTGCGGATACGACTCTCCTGTTCAAATTTGCCAGCTTGGAGTTCCGTCGTCTGCTCTCGTAGTTCACAGATCTAAAATTTAAAAAAGTCCAAAAAGTCATTTTATTTGTAAGAACTTTGAATCACAATTATGTCGTCAGACATAGAAAAGCAGTAATTCAACATAAAATTGAAATTGTCCAAGAAGGCCACCCATTATTGAGGAGAAAAGTGGTCATCATAGACAGGTGGCTATCGTAACTCTTTATCTCAGAGAGGAGTAAACAGCCAGGGCCCTCTTTTGGTACGAAATCTTTAATTGACACATACGTCGCTAAATTCTTAATCTAATTCTTAAAACTCCAAAACAAAATTACAAAACATACGGCAAGCGTTCCTTTTTGTTCTTTGGTCCCCAGGTATGTAACGAACTCCCATATAAAATAAGATCTGCCCCAACAATTTCCATTTTCAAAAATCAGCTGAAGCATTTTTTATTCACAAAAGCATACCTGTCATAATGATGTACTGTGATATATATGCATGTGTATGCCAGACTGTGAGACTGAAGAAATAGCGAGTGAGAATGAGAGAGAGAAAAAGAGAGAGATAGAGAGAGAGAAAAGAGAGAGAGATAGCGAGAGAGGGAGAGAGAAAGAGAGAGAGATAGAGGAAGAGGGAGAGAGAGAGAGGGGGAGAGAGAGAGAGAGAGAGACAGAGACAGAGAGAGAGAGATAGAACGGAAATGTTTTTCTATCTGTATAGAATTAATGTTTTAATGAATGTTTCTAGTTACTCACGTTTCAACTTTATTTTGACTGTTCGTGAATTTTTATTGCATTGTATATTTTTAGTGAACACATTTTCAACCTCACTGCGAGACTGTTTTTCTGGTATAAAATTTTACACATATGCATTTATATTATATGTATAATACTTTGTTTTACGTACACATTTGTGTCGATTAATTTTTAAGATGTGATGTCTTTTTCATTGTAATGCGCATTGAGCATCTTTTAGGAAATGGAAACGCGCAGTATAAATGCTATTTATTATTATTATTAAATTGGTCATTAAATCAAAACAAGTGAACCTAGTTCCAAAGTCATCGTAAAGGAATGTGCCCAAGCTGCTGCCAGTGGCTCACAGGCACAGCGGTTCTGACTGCGAGCTGCTGGGAGCGGCTTGCCGGAGATAAAGTGTTAAACTGCTGTAAGACCCATCCAAATGCTACCAACTAGTCAACTTGGGTAAACAGTAGGAGGGACAAGAAAAATCACTTTGGCAATGTGCCTGTCAGCGATTTGTTCACTCATATGACAAGCTAACAACAACAGGTGAATAAATTATGAAGGCTTGTGCACAGCGTCGGCGGCAGAAAAATAATGTACGGCAATGCGTCGGATAATGAAAAATTTATATGGCCATCTTGGACAGGTTTTTTGTCCTGTTGGTTGATAAAATATAGTGGCCACGGCTGGGTGGGACAAATTATCGCTTTAGGCAGCTATTTGCTTCTCTAGCACAAGTAGATCATAGTGACTGACCTCTGTCTGTTTAGCAGTCAGCTCTTTCTGCAGGGAGTCCAGATTGGCCTTGAGCTCCAGTGATTTCTTCATCAGCCCATCTGTCTCTTCCTGGTGTTCTTGTTCGCTTTTTTCTCTCTGCTCTTTCAGTCTGTTGGAGAAACACAAGTCAATATCAATTCAAAGGGAATTCTGTCTCAGATTTATCGGTACATACAGCAATACAGATACTAGTAGGAAGTCATGTTAGTTAACCATACCAGAGTAATTGCTAACTATTCTCAGGTTAAGAATTGAGAGAGAGAGAGAGAGAGAGAGAGAGAGAGAGAGAGAGAGAGAGAGA